AGTGTTCAAGGCCAGGCTGGGTGGGGGCCGGTGGTGAAGCACTGGAATATGTTGCCCAGAGAAGTTGGGGATGGGATGCGCCCGGAACTGTTCAAAGTCTGGTTGGATGGGGCCTGAGCAACCTGATCTACTAGTTAGCATCCCTGCCCATGGCAGGTGGATTGGAATTAGATGATCTTTAAGGTTCCTTCCAACCTGAACCACTGTATGATTATGATTTGGTGAAAAAAAAATGTGGATGTGATTTGGCATATTTTATGAAAACAGCTTCCAGTACTCACTTACAAAAAGAGGAAGGAATACATGAAAGAGGGGAAGAAAGGACCTTTATTATGCATATATACATAGGTACTACCCTGCCCAGTCTGAATGCCCAGCTTGGCCGTCAGAGGTAGGAGATCTGTATGTCTCTGTGTATGCATGGTCATGTTTTATAAATGGTTTGATCTTACCTGAGCATCTGTGGCTCTGGTGACATTCCATTTGTTCACCTTTCTGTAGGCTCTTCAGTAAACTCAGTGGATACATGACAGTTCATTAAATTAGTTGAAAATGTACATCCAGTCTTTCCACCCTCCTCCCCCAGCCCTAAAATGAAAATAAAGAAGTTACAATGGTAAGAAGGAAAAATACTATGCCAATAGCTCTGAAAGCACTGACACATTTAAACTAATGCAGTTCCTAGAATCATAAAATATAAATGTGCTGTCAGGGGCGTCACAGTTACTCCAGTGACATGACCACCTTGCAAAAGCACCAGTGCAATATGCCACAGCTAGTTATCAAAGTCCCCCTGTAATACTTTTCTTTCACTAACTTTTCAGAGTCATGAGGCTTCCATAAAACCCTTTTCCCCTGGCAGCCCCTCAGGTAGCTTTTATATACCTGCATACATCACCTTGCAAAACAACCAGTTCAGGAACAAACTTTCTAGAGATGGCAGTTACTGAGATCAGTTGTTTTAGGAAATGTTCCTTGATGAAATGACTTGACAAAGTTTTCCTAACTTCCTGCATGGCAAACAGTTATTCCTCAAATATTACAAAAATAGCAGCTAGGTTTTATCCAAAGAACTCTTTTCAAAGGGCTCAACCCTTTCAAGAAGTTATTTTTGTTTCTGCAATTGTTGCTGCAATTACCAATTTACAAAATCCATTCCCGAGATAAAGCAGTGCAACAACATCACTATGAAATAGCCCTTCCATAATTTTCTCAAAAGCACAAACTTCCTCGTTCAACTGCGAGTCAGAGCAGCCTATTAATTTTTGACCATCAATTTCGTGCTCTGATACAACATATAGGTAGTATGTTTTACATTTAAAAAACCTTTATAACAACTCAGAAATGCTCCACTCAAGCCCCTTCTTGGAATTAGTGGCTTTAGTTAATATTGCTTAACACTTATTTGGAACAGGCATGTTATTCTTCCATTAAGCTTTATTCTGGTCAGTCTTCCAATCTCCATTTAAATTCTGTTTTCCTCTTGGTTGGCATCCTCACCCTTAGCTACCTCATAAACAAGATTCATTGCCAACTGGAACACACGAGCAGAGCTGAAAGCAGCACTGCTAACCTCTGCTCCTTTCTACCCCCTGCAAGTTGGAGATGTATCAAACTCAATGCTTGGAGCCTGGGAAGTGGAAATCTCGAACCACTTGGAAGCTCAAAGAGACAGACTTCAGGCTATTAAGGTACTGGGCTGGCTCACTGAGCTATAACTGTGCGTACTTTTTTTTTTAATCAGCCCAGCAAACCAGATTCACATGCTTTTACTTCAGCTGAGTGCATCTTTCACCGTAAAGAGATGTGATGAAAACTGTGAATAGACAGTTTTACTCAGCATTAATAAGGCAACCAAAATCTGACCCAGAATGACTAACTTGGTAGTGTTAATTTCTAAGTGGACATACAGAGGAGAAAAGATTTGGGTACTCAAAGCTGCTTACGGATTTTGGCTATAGGCAGCACTGTCTTGATTTTACATGCCTGAAATTTCCATTTTTAGAGACTGTATACCAAGCAATAATAAAATAAAATATGGTACTTGGAAATCTTTGTCACATGTTGGGGAGGCACTGTAAATAAAGGCAATGAATGAGAAATGCAGAGACTGCATAAGTGGTGGGTGAGAAGGTTCCCGGTCCCCTCCTCTGCCACGACCTAGCCCCTCTTCTGCACATGCAGCAGTCGCTGCCAGAGTCAGCACACAATGACAGGTACCTGGGGTGGCATCTCCTGTACCATACTTTCTCCTGGCTTCTCACTGCAGAGACCAAAACTACTTGCTCTGGGCCTTTTTTTTTCCCCAGAATTTATGAGTGTTGTTCCATTCTTAGGGTCAGTCACTGTATGTGGATATCTGTGTAATCAAAATTGTATTTGACTATTTCTTTTTTCCCTTCATTTGTAGGGTCAAGGCTTTTTGCCTTGTCAGTTCTGCACTGGTAAATGTTTCTGTCCTCAGTTTGTAAGGCAGAATGTCTAGCTGCACAACACCAACAACTTACAGGTTGCCACTCTGGGGAAAGAAAGTACACATTTAAAAGAATCAGCAGCCTTGGTAGGATATAATGTGACTGAAGAGTTTCACTGTAACATTGTAGAGTACAAAAATGAAAATATAAAGTGCATTTTAAATGATTAATGTACAAAAGCTGACCTCTTCCAGTGTGCATTAATCAAGAAAAAATGCACACTTTCTATAGAGGTTAATGTTGCAGGTCCATTATTCAGCTTTGATAATGTGCATAAAAATGCTCAATATGACAATGAGTTGGGGTAGCTGAGAATTTAGAATGGTGGCAAGTTTGTTGTAGTATTTGGATTAGCATTCTTAGCCTACATCTTGACAGCTTCTTTTCTTCATTTCACAAGCGTTAATAAAATCTAGCTTTATCCTCTTTGATTTTTGGTTATTTTTTTTCTTGCATTTTAGTTATTTGTTTTTAAACAAAACAATTAAAAAATACCTGCTTAAACAAATACTACCAGCATTCATTAGTCAGGATGGTTATATGTAAAAGAAATGATGCCAGATAGTAACAAATCCAAGAGAAGTTTATTATGAAAATGGCACCTGCGGGATGAAAAAAAATTAAGTTACATAAAGACAACCATGTATGACATGTATGAGAATCTACAAAAGTATAAAAAGAACCCTGTTGTAAATGAAGTATGTACATTTCTGATTTGCAGCATTATCAATGATCAATGAAAAAAATGTTTCAAATAAGCCAGGCACTCAAGAAGTTAGATTCGGTTAGCTTAACACAAAATAAATGTACCATAGCTGTCACTTTTTAACATTTTAATTTTTTTTATATTGTAGAGTTGGTAACACTGCTAAGATTTATACGAACAGAATCCCTTTCCCCATTATTCAGCTACTTGGCACCAGTCTCCTCATAAAAGATTTCATATATTTGTACAAGAAATAGTTAAAAACACAGACACAGTCTTCACAGGTAATGAAGTTTTTTTTTCATTTTGCAATTTTAAACACTATGGATTTAGACAGCAGCTGTGATTATCTGTTAGTTTAAATCACCAGAAATCATTTTGACACAACACAGAAACATTTATAAAAAAAACCCAAAACAACAACAGCTGTCTAGCTGTTCTTTGTAGCTGATAGGTGCACTCCTTTGATTGTTCCATAGCTAGAGCAGAGCTTTCAAAATTAAACTTTGAATTTCTCAATCAGCTTTCTCACCTTTTTTAGACCTACTTAAATCCTTCCTATGGAACCTTTAAAAACTCATTAATTAAATTTCTGGCATCCAGTTCCTTTTTCGCTATCATTCCTCTGTGGCTTGGACCTACTTCTCAAATTCAAAGCTACTGCAGGAATTGACTCAATGCAGTGAGTGATCAAAAATTCAAAGGACAGCTGAGTTAATACATTAGCATTGCACACATAAGCAAATACATATCACAATTCTAAGCTCAGTTTCTTTTTTAAACAATGCCAGTCAACCTTTGAAAGAATTTTCAATCTCACTGGTAATTGCTCTACATATTGCTCTGCCAGCCTACCTGGGAGAAAACCAAAGAAATGCACCCTCTGCTTACAGTTTGAGCACAAGGACTCTGGGAATGTTAACAACTGAGGCTATATGGCATCAATTTGCTTAATATATCTGAGCATTACTCTGTAGTGCATTGTGGGGTACACTGGAAGAGTAAGTCATACCCAGAATTCCTCTGTGGGAAAAATGGCTCCATTAACCTTGAGCTAGTTAAGAGTCTTTTATCTCTGAGAGTGAAGAAGAGAGAATGAGAGAGCGAGAGAAAGAGAGAGGGGAAAAGTGTGGAGGAGGGGGGGAAGAGAGGAAGGGGGAGAGAGAGGTTTGAGAATACACAACAGCAAAGCAACAGCAGAAATTAAAAGGTATACAGACAGTGGAAGCAGCATAAGGTGACATTACAGAGGAAGGCCACCACACAAAAACCACTAACCCCCAAGAATCACTGGTTCACTAGGACTGCAGGAATGGGACTTTACCACTCCGGACTAGAGATAAAGCACAGAGAAGACAAAGGACAAAACAACTACATTAGCTTAGTATATACTGCATATAGTAACACACATTGAAACTGCAATGGGACTGACAGCCAAGGACACTTACACATTGTACACATTACAGTTCTCACATCTGTTATTAGATGCCTTAACAAACAGCTGCCAAAGATGGAGTGGAAGAAGAATTTATATTTGACAGTCATTTGGAGTGTTTGACACTACACTGTGATTTCTGGCAACAAAGACAAAATAGGAGATTTCTTTTCTTTTACTTAATGTGCAGTTTTCAGTTGTAGTTATCTATTTCAAGCTTATTAACCCATTCTTTAGTTTTAAAACATATTGGTTTCAACACTAGAAATAAGGAAAAAACAACAAAAAATACCCAAATCAAAGAACAGAAAAAAATTTACAACCTTCCCTCTATAATATTAAATGAAAAACATAACAAAACATGTTAAATAGTTCTTCTGGTTTCTTTTTTACTCTGAAGTGTTATTTGATGTTGTAAAATTAGCCTCAGTTACACTGAGAAAAAAATAAAGCAAAACAATATGCACCTAAGAAACTGCTCCTTGCGTCAATTAAATTGAGTTTTTTGTTTTTAAGCACTTTTTGAAAAAGGCTTTCTGACCCATTTAAATTTGATGTGAGGCTATGCTTGTTAGTTTGGAGGTAAAAAATTTTAAGTCCTGCAGCAAATGTTAATGAGGGCTTTTGTCTTAACTAACCAAGGAGACTGCAGCACCCCACTATAAACCAGTACGGAACACATTCTTTCCAAAAAACCCAGCCCACAAGCTGCATATTGTATGAAGACATTGCAGATTAATAAATGATAGCACCATGGTTTTAGAAATTAAGTTAAAGTTTCAGTAATTAACATTTAGTCCAACTTTTTAACATTCTAGTCACAGGCCAGAAATTAACTTTTTAAGAACCCAAATTATTTTATGTGCAAGTAAGAAAATCTTAACCATAAAAAGAGAATTAAACTCTGCATAAAATTCTAAAATACTATCCCCTATTTTAAAGGAATTAGGAACAAAACCCCCCTTTCATTTGACTTAGTCAAACAGGGCACATTGTTTATGCTTGTCTCTTTTAATCTTGATCACATCAAGATCATTTTGCAGTAAAACCAATGGTTGTCACTTTAAAATCTCTTTACCACAACACTGAGTATTCTATGGCAGAGGCATACACATATTAAAGGCATCTTAATAAAGATGCAAAGGAAAAAACACACATCTTAGAAGAAGACAAAATGGCAGGCAACTGGTACTTCGACTCTCTGAAGGCAAAAATAAAAAAATATCTTTACATTAAAGAATAAGTCAAGTTAAAGAGAAAGGGAATGAAATGGGGACCATCATATTGAGATAATAAGCTGACCTGCTCAAATTCAAAGTGCTAGAATTAAAGGTCTAAATTAAAACATAGTCTATGCCTCAGAGTATAACACTGAACACAGTATGTGGTCATATTTCAATCCTCTTTCCGTTCCAGAGTCTGTGTAGTGTGAATGCCATTGCTGTACACAGGAAATGGAAGAGTGGAAAAAAGTCCTTCGGCAGTTGTGAACACATTCCCTGCAGGCATTTGGGTCAGACTGGCCCCGCTCACAGCACTTCCAAACGGTCCCGACATATTGAGTCGGTGAACATGGTGGTAGAGCATTTCCATTGGTGTTTTAGGATCCAGCCCAAAGCTGGGGCTGTTAACATCAACAAAGTTAACAGCATGGGTGTTGGGGAGGAGGTTGCCCTGCATGGCTAAAGTAACTTCAGCTGGAGCATACCGAATAGTGCCAGTGGTGTAGACCCTCTGAGCAGCAGTGCTGGTCGCAGCAAGGGTTCCCGTTACCCTGTGAACCAAAGGAAGCACCACATTGCCTGCTTGTAACCTCTGAAGGGCTTCCAGATCCCCAGTGTACAACAAAGAGTTGGAAGTTGTGGGACCTCCTGGATGTTTGTCCCGTGGAGATGCTGAAAGTGGGGGTGACAAAGGGTCAGAGGACACAGGAGCCAAGGCCGAGTTGGATGAGGTGCTGAATTGAGTTTTACGGCTGGCAGTATTTTCAGTCCCTGGTGGGGTGAGAACGGAGTCTGGAATGGAGACGTGTAAACTACTGCTGGCTTGGGGGGAAGGGAAGTGCTCGGAGCTGGGGGGCTTGGTCATACTGTAGGGTGATTCATTCCTTGAGATTTCCCTGTTGGGTGGGTAATTCCAAATACTGCTATCATTATCAAAATTGATAGGTTCTGAGATTTCTGTTTTAATTTTGAGCACTGAGGCACTGTTTGGTGACGAGAGCAGCTGGGGCTGGTCCACCAAAGCTGAATCAAGTCCATTTGGACTTGAGGTGCTTGACAGCCTTCTCCGGGTCATGCTGCCTCCCTTTTGCTTTTTTCTCCTCTTCTTCCTCTTCTGATGTTTGCTGGAAGACTGGGCATTTACTTCACCTGCACTGTCTGAATCCTTGGCACTGTCCGAGGTCAGTGATTCACAGTTCTGCAACCGCAAGTCTGACTCACTTTCAACATAGCGCTCCACCTTGATCTGCATAGAGCCAAGAGTGCCAAAACTGTCCTCAGGGGCCTTTTGATTCTCAAAGTCAGAGTTTTCAAAGCTGTCATCACTGTCCCTGCTGTCCTGGTTGCTGGAGCTGTTCCCATCATCATTACAGTTCATTTCGTTATCTGACTGATTTCCTGACTTTTTCCTGTCGGATTCAGGATCTTCACTGTTTTCTGACTGGTTTCCTTTCTCATCTGACTTTGAGTTTTCATTGTCCTCTGGAGCAAAATGAAAGTGAAACAAACCATTAGCAACAGGAACATAATATTATAATCCAAGTCCGGATTTCTACCTACCAACTTCTTTGGCAAAAAGCAATCTCTTCTGTAGAGCCACATTTTTTTTTTGCAATGTTGCATTGGGATAGTTTTGATAACCATGAATGTCTTTGACTCAGGACTGTTAATGCACTAAAAGCCTATACTATATGGCCTGCACCTTGACTGAGGGGGGCCTTTTCATCTGTTCACTGGACAAGAATCATTTTGACAACTGAGCACAACGGCTTTGTAGCCATGTCATCCAAAGAGAAGTCAGCAAACAATCCTATTATCACTGTTACGTTCTGGTGATTGTTTTTTCACATCCACGTTCTCCTACAGTGGGCAGGCATCCAGGTATAGCACTATTTACTAATGAAGATTCTAGTCCTCTCATCTCCTTTTCCTCTTGCTATTGCCACTTTCAAAGTGGCATAGTGTCTCTGGCTGCAGTGGAATTACTGCTGATTTCCTCCCATATTAGAGGAGAAGCAGGTCATATGTGTATAAATCTGAATGAATAAACCAGTTAAAACAATTTTGTTATGTTGCTAGATTGTCTTCTTATATTCTCCTGAAGGGCAACTAATTAAAAAACAAACAAACAAACAAACAAACAAACAGGAAAAAATTCAGCCAGTGAATTAAAATTCTTGATTGATCCAAATCGTCTAAGGACTATTGAAAATAACCCAGCTACAGCACTAAGAAGCTGCCACTCTTCTTGCCTGAATTCATTTAGTTGTGTTTTAGATTTTTACCTAATTCTAATATGGATGAGTTAAACACTCTAGCCCACTGGACTCAGAGAGCCAAAGCAGCTTTGAGACTGAATACGCTCCATTATCACACTATGTTTGAAAGGGTCATGAAAGGCTTCAGGAGACCCTGTCTTTTACAGACCAGCCAATCTTTTGTTGGCTAATAAAAGATGTTTTTTTCACTCATCAGGGCCAAGTACTACCCTTTTCAACATGCTTGTTATAGGGGGAGAGGGGAAGGGCCAGCTTTCCTCTAAAGATTGGTTACTCCTGGAGCCATGTCAATACCAAACAATTCCCCCAAAGTGCTGGAGAAGGTGGGTTTGTCAGGAAAGCTGCCTGAGCATTCAGGGCAATGCACTTCACAAGTCACTTAGCAAGGGCTTTTGCTTCTGTCAGCAGCAGCAGAGAGACCCTTCCTTTTGAAAAATAAAATCCACAGAAACAAAGTAACAGCCATAAACCCCTCTCATACAGCTTTTTGTTCCATTTAGGATAAAATTTCTCCTACAGTTTTTTTCCCCTTTTTTTTTCGAAGATGTTTACTTTTAAGGCCATGGTTTCTAGCTGGTGAAGAGTGGGCCTAGGGTGAGGTGGTCTAAAGCTGCACAAAATTTGCCTGAGATTTTATCAGAGCTGGAACTGAACTTGTTGCTTTCATCCAAGATGCTGTTCCAATTTCAGGTCCTTTGACATTTCTATTTAATACCTTTGTAATAAACATGCCTTGTCTCAGCTGTCTTCCAAGACTCCTAGACATATTCTGACATGTAGACATCTGTGCACCTTTGGAATGCTATCTTGCTCTGCATCAGCCTTAGAAGTCATGAATGCACATGTGCTTCTCACCTTCTCACCTGGAGAAGCTTACAGTGCACATGGGGAACACAAACAGTTCTTCACATGTATGTAATTTGGCTATTTAGGAACAAGACAGCATAAAGAAAGCACTGGTAATGGGTGAAGAGATTCCCAGTGATGGTAGTCAACAAGCCTGCATGTGCCCAAATGTTGACTTAAACCATCAAACCAAGCTGTCAAAGGAGAACAAATAAAAGCAAAAGATGAAAGAGAACAGCCCTATCATATAACACAGCATTAAGGCCTGATCCTCTTCTTGATTTTGCTTGATTCATATCACTGAGATCCATTTTCTCCAGACTTTCTTTTTTGGTTGTTATCACAGACATGAGAGAAAAATTAATCTATCTATCTATCTATCTATCTATCTATCTATCTATCTATCTATCTATCTATCTATCATACTACAGCAGAGTAATATCTTTAGTTCTTGGCCACAGGAAATCATGCACCTTTCAAGGCCAGATGATCTGTACCTGTGCCCAGGTAACCACTATTAAAACTAACAGGGAATGTGTGAACCATCTGTGCACTGGACCATCTGTAGGACTAATTTACACATTGAGTTTGACAAGTACACTAAGATTTTAAAAAACAGCTGAAGTCCCAGACTTAACGAGCTTAGAAACAAGTGCTTGAACCCACACCTTATAATTAAATAAAATTCTTTTAACCCAAGAAAACCCTTAAATTTTTCAATCTTCACTGCCCCCTAGCGAGACTCCTCAAGAATGTATATATACAGGAAAAGGTCATAAAGATTGACAGTAGAGACTTCTCTGCAGAATGTCTGCCTATTTTGGAAGTAGAAGAGCTAGAATTATATTCAACAGTCATAATCCCAAGGCCTCTGCACAAGGCACAATACCTGTTCATAAGCACAGCTGGGAAATAAAATATTTAGTTTGGTGCTATGTAGGCAAGAATGCATGCAGAGAGTGAAGAGAAATTCTGAGGAAATGGAGATACTGTGGAAATGCTAAGGTCATTAAAAGATCTTGCTAGTGTTTTTAAATTTAATTTTACATGATTTTTTTTAATAATAGAATGATACTTGAGAAGTAAGAGCAACTGGAAAGCCAAACACATCTCTCATGATATGAACCTTTTGTAGACATAAAGGCACACCATGTGTGTTACCTGAGTTGTCCTTTGAGTCCGATTCAGAGTCAGAGGTCTCTGAGGATTCTGAGGTCTTCTCTGGCAGATGAGGAAGTTGTGCAATATCCATTGGAGTGTCCTTGTACTCTGGGTTACTGAAGAGGAGACAGCAAATATAAACACAGTTGGATGATTTCCAGTTTCATGCTTTTTCCTTCTTTTCATATCAAAGTTCAGGAACAAAGAACATAAGTAGGAAGAATAGCAGAGTAATCACAGAAACGTACATTTTTGGTTCCTCAGAGCTTCACAGCAGCAATTTTTGAAGGTTTACTTTAATACTGCTGTCAAATACTTCTATTGACCAGGTACTCAAACTCATTTGATCCTAGAGAAGTTTTAGAGCTATCAAAATATTCTTCCTGAAGTGGGACATCATGGCTTCTGTGTTATCTAGCAGTAAAGCTACACTGAGTAATCATCCAACAACAAAATATCTCGATTTCGATCCCATTACTGTGCCTGGAAGGACAGAGAGGGTGTTTTAACTTTTCCAATCAATTTCTGGCCCACTGGCAATGTCTATTAGAGTTATCTCTGTAACAATGTTCTCTATCAACCATGCCAGAGCCCTTTCAATACCTGTCTTTTTATAACATTTCAGTTTTCCACACTTTAATCGAGCAGACCACACATAAAGTTATTAAGAAAGTGCTCAGTTAGGGCTAGAGAAAGTGACCACTGCCTCAAAGAATCTGGCCAAAAATTAGTTAAAAAAGGTTATGTATTTTTTAAACACTGCACACATGCATCCACATCAGCAAGAAACCAAAAGCAACCACTCTAACTATATGACAGATGCACATGTGCATGTTAAGATGCATATGTTAGGGATAAAGAACTGTCAACACACCCATTATAATCATATCTTCATCTGCTCATGTGGTGCTCACCTGTGACTTGTTAGCAATGAACATGACTGCAATGTAAAAAAGCTACACTACCAGGAAAACTGAAAAAATAGCCCCCTAACCCTGTGCTTTTTCTTGGTTTGTACTTTTTAAAATGTTCCTTTTCTAAATCCATGTAAAGGCAGGGGAACAGACACAGCTAGACAAAAGTGGCATAGGAATATTAAAAATAACAAAGTCTGTAATAATTTTTGAATAGGTGAGCATTTCCATGCAGTTCAAATTCCATCCTGGTGATAGAGCAGAAAATCTGCAGTCCTGTGTAGAACAATACAAGGCAGCACTGGGGGTGCCTGACACACTATCACAATGACAGTGTGCCCATATTCAGCCTATTAGAGTGCACTGTGAAAATTCAGAGTTCACACAGTTCACACTGAAATGCCATTCTTACGATTATCATCTTTATGGTTTTCTCCTGACAAAGTGACTTTATTCTGTTGCATCCCAGGGCAGTCCCCAAATTTGCCCCCTCCAAGCAAAAGATGTTTGAGGGCTTTCACACTGTGAATAACAAGTTGCTAGAACAAGAACAGCATTAATCCTCCCTGTCACTATAATTAGTCTATCCTTTTACAGACAGCTGAATCATACTTTATAATGCATGGAAATGTATACAGACCAGTATTCCTGCTAAGAGTAGACCTAATTATGCCTTGATCTGTCATTAAAATATTATTTGGACATTTGGATCTTTCATGGATTCCAGTATTAGGAGAAATCTAAATTAAAAATACAAATTCAGTGAAGATGTTAATCTTTCTCTAGTAGACTGGTGAATGGAATGCAGCAGAAAAAAAAGACTCCAGTAGGAGTCCTGGGAAAGACCACATTGCTTTTTTTGTTTTGTTAGGTGTATTCTGCTTATAGAGACAATTATTTTGTGCAATGCTTGTAGACTTGGTTCACCTATTGTCTGGAAAGCAGCAAAGGGGAGAGAGAGACAACTGTTCATGGTTCTTATGGACCACTTTTACAGCTAAAGCTGGAAATAGAGAGTACATTTCTGGGCATTTTGAAGCCCTTCTAATCACTGGGGCAGTGAAGCTGTACTTCCAGTTCAGAATTGTCAGCCTTAAGCTGACCTCTTGAAAAGCTGCGTTCTGCCTCACACTTGCAAAAATTGAGATGAAAAAGTAGCAGGATAAGGATGTATTCAGAAAAGTCTGTGCTCAATCATATCAAGACAGAAACATGCAAGCCCCAGTGAAAACTCCACTGCTGTGGAAGGCTTCCCACAGCATCCCTTCAATGCTCTCCTGCCAGGGGTTGCTTCCTTCTCTTCCCCAAAAGGAGAATCAAAAGCATTTCAACATGCAAGTTTAGGCAGGCATGGTCTCTTCAGGGCTTGCTGGACTTGGCATAATAAGTCACAATCTAACCCCTAGACATCACTTTGAACTCTCATGGCATCAAAGGGAACATAACAAACCATGACAAGCAACTTAAAAGGAGAACAGGCCAGAAAATGACAATTGCATTTCATGACAATCTCAAGGTTTCAAATTTTATTTGTTTATTTGTTCTGCTCTGGAATGAAACAGAAAATCTCCCAATCTTATTGAATATTTTCCCAAAACAGAATGTATTGAAAGGTCAGGTTTATAATTCACTGTCTCTCAGTAACTGTTGGTTTTCCCTCGCTGTCAGAAACCAGTCTTTTCAAAATACTTTGGTAAAACAGTATTTCTCAGGGAAAAGCCTTTCATTCATGATGTTATTACCATTTCTATTTAAAATAGTTCTCATAGTTTAAAATTATTTTAAATGCTACTTTTATTTTTAAATCCTATTTTGGACTTTTCAGTGTGAATAGTATCTGACAGTTATATCAGATATAGATCAACATAGTAGTAGTTCAAGGCTTTTTCTCTTGAAAAAGTTCCTCTTTCTGGAGTGAACTGGAAAATGCCTTTCAGAGAGACCTTTTTTCAGCATTCCAGAAGTTTGCTTCCACACATTTTCAATATCCAAATAAACCAGTGCCCAACATTTCACACCAGATTTTATAGCACAACTACTGAAAGTTGGTGTGTGGATAATTTTTGTCTTTTTGAGATCAGATTGAGTAAATTTCAGGGCAGTGGAGGCATGCAATAAAATGGTGGAGGTCTTATTGCAAGACTAAGGCAGCATAATAATTCAAGTGTATACTAGTGTACTGAGATATGACAGATGCCTCAATAACTCTAAGAAAATGGCACTGTTTTTGAGGTGGACTAAACAAAAAATTCTCCTTAACTTACTCTTTTTTTTCCCCCTAAAATTCTCACCAACAGAGACAAGCAACAAAGACAGCAGTTCAAGTGAGAGAAGTGACTGGAAGACCTACCTAAGAAGATAATTGACCCATATGATATTCTTCTCACTTGCGTTCTTGGCATTGACAGCTATGGTTGCACTAGACTGTATCCAGATATAACCTCCGTTCTTCTGCATCCAGCGGTAATACTTTGTTACACATTGACCCTTATTCAGCACTGGCAAGAAAATACAAACAAAACAGAAGCAAAATATAGTGCATGTTAGAACTGTGGTAAAACGAGCTCATTGTACAACATGCCACAAATATACATGGAAGGTACTTGCCTTCCTTTAGGTTTAATGCCAGTGAGATGACAAACAGGATCTGAAGCTGTATGTTTTACAAGTTTTTAAAGTATAATTTTAATCTGCCTTTGGAAACTCTAGTGGAAGAAGAAATTAAAAAGAACTACAAATCTCTTTGGTTCACAGAATACTTATTGCTGTGTGGACATTTCCAATGTGCTCAATGTCAAACTTTAAAAAAAGAAAAGAAAAAAAAGAGGCAAATTTACATGTGATTTATTCATAGCTCCTAGGTAGACCTCTTTGAGATTCTGGATATTTGAAAGGTTTGGGAAGATACTCTACCCCTGCTGCTTTGATCATTTCTCCTTATTGCAGGCGATATCAACCACTGAACTTATACATCTGTTTCTTTGATCTTGTCAAACAGAATTTACAGTTCTCAGATGAACCAAATCTCCACTGGTCAGTGGGGGGAAAGTCTTTGGAGAATTTACTTTCTACCAGAGCAAAATAAATCCACCAACAGACTGAGAAAGAGGCCTAAGGGAGGCACAGAATGGCTTGGTTAGGGCCAAAGAGTGACAGCTCTTTCCAATGTTTGAAATATGCTAGGAAACAGAGAAAGAAGTAAAAACAATCAGTAATTTGAAACAGTGCTATTAAATGCTCACAGCAAGAAGGTTTAAAAATACAGACGTTTAAAGTAATACTTCAACCAAAATATTGCCAAGTTGAAACGATTTGGTTTGTATCTGATTCTTTGGTGTCAGGAGAAGGATATGAAATTCAAATCTTTCAGTGGAAGGGAGCAGCATGGTTTTATAAAAACCCTTAAATACACAAAATCTCGGTACTGTCGTTACTGGAGCCCTTACTCTCCCCTGCGTTTCTCACTACTCCCACAAAGCTTTGTGCACTAGAGGGCAGTGTGCATTCACAGACACCTCCTGCTTTTGTCATGTCCTTGTCTCCGTCTGCTAAAATGAAAAACCTCTAACTGCTGTAATAAATTTGGCTAAATTAGCTGCTAAATGGTTATCTCAAGTAATATGTATTTGCATTAATCATCTTGCTCTAAACCAGAACAAGCCAGAGTCCTAAAGACGTAGTAAATTCATATTGTCCATTTAATTACGGCTAATAAGTGCTTCATATACAATAGTTTCATGAAGTACATTTTCTTTTTTCCTTTTTTTCTTTTCTGTTTTTTTTTTTTTTTTTGGTGCGTGTGGAGGGAAAAGAAAAAAGTCACTTTGGAAAAGAGTAAGTATTTCAGGCAGTTAAAGTTCTGACCATAAATGTGACAAATGACACTTTGGAGCTTTCAAGTTAACCAAATGTCTATACCTCTAATTATACATATGAATGTATCTATATCTAAATCAGTGTACAGCAGATATCTACAGAAAAAGATATTTACAAATGTAGGCATACAAACTGATGTTTTCTTATCTTGAAGGGATCCCCCAATCCTCACCGTAATTTTGCAACCACTAAATAAAAATGCACTTAAAATAGTGCAATGTAAAGTGAATGTGAAGTGAAAGTTAGGTTCAGCTTTAATTTAAATAAATATTTGTAATCTAGGTCCTGCTATTTTCAGTGAACTATGTTTGTTTCTGGCAGATATCCATGTTTCCCTAAATTTCTACTTTTGTATTCCAAGCTCTAAATATTCTGCTATGATAATTCATTGGCTTGAAGACCTCATTATACAGCAGAATAAAGATAAAATATGAACAACTGACTACCCAGCACTTCTGTCAAACCAATGTTGTATGCCACTTTAGAAAACAATCTCACATAAATTAGTCCAACTTTATCAGTTATGAAGAATAAAGGAAGAAAAATACTGCTGTAAGTTTTGATTATGGTAGACATTTCCATTTTAGTAAAATAGGACATCCAAAATACTCTGTTTACAGCTGAATGTAGAACTGATATGCATGCAACTGTGGAAGTGATATTATCTCTTTTCTGGAAACCTGAACACCCACAGTTGTGTGCAGAAACTAGTAAAATATATCTGCACTTGTTTCTACTAAATATACCAATGTCGTCTTTGAACAGTTTTTATCTGAGTTTACCATGCTACACAGATGCCAAAGGATGAATCCTCACAACAGCTCACATACACATTTGAAAGTCAAAGTAGCAGGTGAGTCACTAACTAGTGACCAAAGAACACACTGCACTTCTGCACAGTGATAGCTCTGAGGACTCAGATCCTCCAGCTCTTTTGGTCATCCTAGACAAGTTGTTCATCCTTCAGTACCTTTTACATGGGTTATTGCACCACTAGAAAAGTCTATGTCACAAGTTGAACAGAGCATACATTTCAGATTATGGAAAAGAGGAAAAGGTTCTTGCTTTTTCAAGAATGAGAAATACAAACCATCTCTACACACAGAGTTCAGGCTTCCAAATTACTGCACATCCAAGGAATGTCTGAAATATTGTAATTAAAAATGAGCTTTCTGTGAAGTTCATCTACCTGCAAATTCCCACTTCCTATTTGACCAGCTCAGATATATTACCAGATACACAGGATTTTCCTTCCAGTGTCTGTCTAAAGCATGTTTCAGATGAGAGATCTGTGCACCACGCTCTGAAGAAAGTCCCACGATTCAATATAAAAATTCTCTCTGTAAAGAGATTCTCTGGCAGGCCAGCTGTGCTGTGCTGCTAAATCTGGTTCTTACCTCCTTTGAGAGTGCACCACACCCCCCCAAGTCAGTTCTGAAAGCTCATAGTATACTTCGAAAGAAATTTCTCAATGTGATGAAAGAAAAGAATGAAAAAAAAAGGGAAATATTTTCTAATTTACAGTATTCTTTTAATTGTTGGTATTACCAAGATGCAACTTAGAAATAACATGAGAATTCTGAGAAAAAAAAAACAATTAGAAGGACACTTCATGGAGGGAAATCTGTCTGGTTTATAGATAACCTATTGTTACTGTGTAAAGCCCAGTATTGAGGATCTTCAGTTTGCAGGTACAGAGAATCCATTAATAAAGTTACTGATTTTGAGAAGAAAGCAAAGTGTTAGTCCACCCTAAGCTCTGCTTGTGAAGTTAGGTTTTGTAACTAGCAACAGACCATGCATTTCAATTTAGCATAAACTTCTGAAATTGTCATGCTGTGTAGATCACATCCTGAATGTATTTAGGCAAATCCCTCACTCACTGAGAAATGCAAAGAATTTTATATTTATATTTGTATTATACATGGAGTACCCGGTCTGGCAGACAATACAGTACTGGGAAAGGTGAGACTTGTGACCACATGAATGGGATGGCTTGTGTGACTGAAGTTACACAGGATTATGCAGGATTGGGTTATATAATTATATATATATATATACACACACACACATATATATATAAACCCTTTAATCAAAGGGACTAACTGAGGGTTAATGTTTTAAAACTGGTGACCTTTACGTTAGCTGCACAGATATATTCCCTAAAATGATGGATGCTAAACTTAAACAAAATTTGCTGAAATGTTGCCTAGTTCCTCATTTTGAATTCAGTGGTTAGCATGCAAGAGGTGCACAGTATGTCATGCTAAGAACTAAAAAAAAAATCTCACTTATTTCTCAAAGTATGAATATATTGCTGTGTACACAGTTCCCAACAGAGGGATTTCAGTTTTCCTTGGTAGCTTCGCGCACAGCAATATTCTTGTAGCAGTGGAATGAAGGAGGGGGAAAAAGAAGAAACAGTCAGTGTTCTTTGCAGGAACCTATTTCTATTAGAAAATCAAAATAAATCAGTACAAGTTTGTCTTCAGAAATATGGTTACAAAAAGAAAAAGAACATAGTTTCTTCCTGTAAGGCTGTTCTGAGAAATCAAAGCCAAAGCTTCTAAATAGTGAGTTGTGTTTTAAAAGAAGGAAGTAGCTTAATTCAGTTTGAAGAGGAGATGAAGAAATTGTGTATCAAAAGCAGTCTTTTAGCAAAGTCTCTTACAAAAGGACGTTTTACTCATGTGCATATGCATTTAAAAGCTACACTATATTGCGTATTCAGGTAACTATTGAGTAAATAGGAAATGATGAGATCATCTTACATATTCACAGAGCTTCACAAAGAGGCTCTTTATAATTGGTGAAAATATTGAGGTTACATCTGCTGTGCTATTCACCCTTCTCCTTGAAATACCTTTATCAATGACTGGATGGTATTGATACTGAATTTCTCTTGTGCTAAACTTATAAAAATATTTTTAATTTACTGCATGAGGCTGAAAATGCCGTACTTAATACCACAGTCGGATACTTAGCTGCAGCCACAAGTACTCTTCCTACATTCACAAAACTGGCAGACGAAACATGAAAAGGAATACTGACTCTTTAATCTCCACTTCTCCACCTAAGGCCCAAGGCAAGCTGACAGGGTAACTTCGTTCTGGAAACAGAGGGGTTTTTATTTTTTTAATTCTGGATTACTTTTTCTTCTGCTTTTGAAAACTGTGGGCTACAGGGGAATGAACCTCGCATAGACTTAAAACAAGAACAAGTTTCTTTATCTGAAAAGTTACAGTCCTTGATGCTTATAGGAAGGTCATTTTCAAAACCCACAGGAAAAATAGCATCACAGCCCGACAGAGTGCATTAAGTGCCTTATTTGCTTGTAATAGAGACAGTTTTCCATTTATAACAGCTCCGAGGATCAAGTGAGTCTTTGATGTTGTAAGGACTTTTCTATAGATTTTGCAATTAGTGAGCTAGATGTTTTAAATATTAGGTATCCACAAATTGGATTTTAGCAATGAAAAATATTTAGCAATGTTAAATGATGCTTGTTACTTAAACAGGAGCTAGATGATAGGAGACTTGCAGACATTTGGTAAGCAAACATGTGCCATCTATGTAATTCTCCACAAGCACTTCGATTTTGGATCTGCTACATGGTGGGGTG